TCTGTTGAAGACTGAAGGAAATTTTTCCCTTAATTTCTTACTCCCTGACCTCCCACATTATGCTAAAAAGAAAAGGCATGCTGTGTATCTGTAGACAGAGGGTTTCTGCAGAACTCATTCTTGGAGTGGAGAATAGGAAGTGAAAGAGCTTATAGGATGGCTTTCAGGAGGGGTATAGTTCATATAATGTGGTAGGGCAAAGAACACTAAATTACTGGAATGAAAATATATTTTATCCTTACTGCTATACTGGTCGGTGTTATCAAAACAGTACCTGCATGTAGGTTCCAGTAGATAAAAGGTATTTTGTTCCTAAGTGAGCTTTATGTAGAAGCAAGAAATTGCTAGGGGAATGGATAACCATCAGATAACATTTTTAAAGCCTTCCGTAAAAATGGAATGGGCAAAATAATCCAATATGACTAGTAGGCGGGAAGCAACGAAGTTGAAGGGAATTATGTAGAAAACACGGAACATCTTTCTGCTGATGTAGTTGTTTTCCATTATCTTTGACTTGCAGACCTTCCCTCCTGCCCCCCACCCCCCCTTAGCTAAGGTGAACCTTAGCTTGAATGGTAGTAAGACTTGATATCTCTGCAGATCCCTTGGAGATGGTCCTCACAATGGGCCTGCTCTCCTGAGAGGTGTTCTGTTAATTTGGGGGTATAGGTTACAGGAAGGTGAATATTACTGTCTGGTGATGAAAAGGCTTCAAGTCCGACCAATTCAAGTGGAGGATACGCAGTTCTGTTTACTCCCCATTTAAAACAGCGTAAGAGAACCATGAGTCCTTAAAAAAAAATCCACACAAATAGAATTCGATCTAAATGAGAAGCAATATTGTTGCACTTAAACGATTCTGCTCATTCTTTAAAATATCTGTAGTTACAAACATCTGTTTTCTTTGCAACATGGATGTTAAAGTACAAGAAGATGCTCCGATTTCATTTACATCCAAATAATTGCTGGGAAAGGATCTAGAAATCCTGTAATATCATCGTAAAGTCCTCTCTCCAATTTATGTGGCTTCGAAATGCAGGTCATTCCTAGGGGTAAGGATATAATAGGACAAAATTTAGCTACAGCAGTAAACCTGATGTATCTATAATTGATAGTTTATGCACAGTTGCATTATAAAATATATAGATATGTTATAGACAGTAATAAAAAGTGGTCCAAAAACTTTTTACACCATATGTTACATTCACTAAGTCATACCTGCAGAAATTAGTCAGAGGGGAAAAAAATCAAGTCCTTAATTTACGTGGACTTTTCTGGACTTGTCACATGCTGAATTTGATCAAACATTAATACACGTAACCTTATTTATTACACCTAGTTATGCCTTTCACCAACCAATATTTCTGTTCAGTGTCTTTTAAATAACAACCCTTCACATAAGTTGGCTGGAAGTATTAACAATCTGTATTTTAGTTAACTGGGTTGTGACTACAGTCACTCAGTTAAAAAATGTATTGTGCATATGAAAAGTGTTATTAGAGAAATACTTTTGTATCTGAACTTTTTAAAGAGTCTACATATGCTTGTTTTGATTTTTTTTTTCCCCTGCAGGTTTTTGAAAGGTTATACAAAATAGTACCGAGTACAACTGACAAGTGCTAGTATGCTGTTTTATGCTGGGATGTTAACTTATTATTTTGAACAAGTTCCGTTTATCAAAACTCTTTACCTTCAGTCGTTCATTTCAGTTTGTTATAGGCCTTCCATTGCCAGGATTTAGAAATTCAGACATTTCAATTCACTTGCCCATAAAGCGTCCCAACAAGACAAGGAAATGATGTAGCATCTATGCCTTTTACAGACAGGGACTCGGTGCTGAAAGGGTGCAGGCCTTGTTCGGGGAGGAATTCCCATCCACGTTTTCCAAGATCAGACACTTCTGTGTGATTGTTGAAGTTACTGAGAAAAGGCTATTTAGAGTCAGCAAACAAGGGAGGTAAACTACAGAGATTTGCATGAGTTAAGGTTTTCTGAGCGTGGGGATGGATGGCAGGGGTTCTGTACCAGGGGAGAGTTTGATTCCTTGGTCTCAGCCTAGAACTAAGAACTGAAAACAACTGTGAAGGAAAATCTACCAGGCTTCTTTTTCTCTTGAGTTTATTTTAAAGGTATTTTCTGCATCATCTGTCTCAATACAGATAGTACCATGTACATCTATCAGCAGAAAAAAGGAAAAACAATATAGAGTGTTAATTGCTCCAAGTTAAAAAAAAAAAAAAACCACCAAAAACAAAACAACCACAAACACACATGATGTTAAAAAAGGTCTGATTAGATGATACTGTTCTGTTGTGTTGGTTATCATATGTAATTCTTCTGAGTTAGTTCATATGTTGGGAATAGTTTACTTAAATCATCTTTGTTGTAGCATCTCTCGAGGAAGCTTCATTGCATTAGGAACCTATATCTAAGTATATATGGGTGATCCCATGTAGTGCTGAGCTTTGTCTAAGAGATGCCTCTTGAGGGCAGGATAGATTGTTTGGATTAGATTACAAAGGAGAGTCCCAGTTTCCCCCCACTATTACTGCAGTCCAGAGCACACTGGTTGAAAGATTGCTCTCTGCAGGAAATGTCAGTTCTCTCTCTTTGAAACGGTTATGGTTTTAAACTTGGTGAATTTCTTCTGAGCCCAGTGGTCAGCTGTAATGTGCTGATGATGGTCAAAAGCCTGCTGATAAGTAGCTAATGAGTTTTCTGCTCCATTGACAAGTTTTGAGTGTCCTAGCATCTTTTACAGCCTTCCAGCTTTGTGGCCTGGGGCTGGTGGGTAGTGACTATCAAACCGGCCTTCTGCGGAGCCCTTCAATCCTGTGCTGTCTCATCACTGTCGCTCTCTTTGGAAGACTTAGAGGATGGTGCTTCAGTTACCGTGTTTGAGTGTGGCTCTGAACTTGAACAGGATTTCCCACTCTAAGCCTTAGGGTACTTATTTGAGCTGGTTAACTCGGGTTAGCTCTCTCCTTTCGAGCCTAAATCAGGCCCTGCACAGGATGAGCTGTCTTTCAGCAGGGGTCTTGCACCAGCATAACTCATTTTCTGGATGCAGTCTTACTGGCCAAACGGGGTAACCCTTTGTCTCTCAGCGCTCTTCCATTACTAATTCTCTTTATTTCAGGAGCAGCAAGGCCAGTGTAATTCCAGTCCATGTGGGGAGAGTGTTTTTATGGTTTTGCTGGTGGTTTTTTATATGTATCATAGTACTCAAGTATTCTTTTCATACAGTTCAGCTAGTTATTAACTGTAATGGAACGTTTCTTTATAAGGGCCTATTGTTACCCTTGAATTAAAATCCCCTGTCTTTCCCTGGGGGATGCAGGCTAACAAGTACCTACAGAATATCCTCAGCTGAAGATCTGCAAGCATGAGTTCCCTTTCACTATGGAGTGAGCTTTCTCTCTTGCTACTGGCTGAATCATTCCTCACAAATGAACACTGAAGCAAGGCTTGCGAAATTAGTCCAAGCAAATCCAGACAGGCAGTGCCTTTCATTTCTTTCTGCATCGCAGGAGCCAGAGAGAAGGGAAACAATAGATCTCAAACTCTGTCACTTCGTGTCACAGAGCTGTCACTTGTGAGCACATTTGTAGTGGCAACTTGAGCATCCTGTTCTTCCCTGAGACCCCGCATATTCCAAGGGCGATTCTGCCTGCTCTGGCTGGGGGAGGAGGGTTAGGTTCCTTCATCCGTATCATCCATCAGTCCTTACAAGTTGTTCCCCATATACTTACCAAAGCTGTATTAATTTCTTTTTGGGTCAAAAATCTCATCCCTGTTTGTCCTTTCCTCTGGAGAGGATGAAAGTTGCACTGATTTGGTGGAGAGTGCTTTATGTGTTAACATTTTGCTTTTATTTTAAGATAGAAGTATATTGCTTATTCTAATTTGATTTTTCTGTGGCCTCAGGAAAATTTCAACTGATATTAATTTTTAATGTCAGATTGAGGCCTATATCAAGACAGCTTGTGCTGCTTCAACTTTTGTGTTCCATGTAGCAAAGCAGTACTTGTGGGAGCTGTCTGACTTTGATGGGAACTCTTTGTCTACGATGGAACATGCTACCATTCTTCCATGCCATTTTATAACTTCAGTGCCTTTATGTTGTAGAGAGCCTTTCCCTTCTCATCTTGCTTTTTTCTTTAGTTACTGCATGCTGCCTCATTTTCTGGCATTGTGTTAACTGTTGGCTTTTCCTTGAAGTGGACTGGCACAGGGAGGGATTGGAGAATGAAATTATCATGTGTTATTTGTTCTCTAAATCCCAATAATGCAGCTCAGAAACCTCATTTTGTTGCGTAGCAAGAACAGGCATATCTTAGCAGATTTTAGATCATCTGAGCAGCACTGATTCTCCGTCAAGGTCAGTCGGTCTGTTTAAAATTAAATGATACCACGAGGGTTTTTCTTAACTAACTCCTGAGTGTTAGAAAAACCTGAATTCCTCTGACCTGATAAGAGGTTGCATCTCATAAGATTTCTTTTGATCATATGCTAATTTAGTTTTCAGATCCATAATTTAATTTCTTTTGCTTATTTTCTGACAGAACAGCCAAGGGTGGTAGTGATAGGATAGGAATAAATATGTATTTGCCTTTCATTTTTACAGTATTTCACAGGAAGTGAAGGGTCACAGTGTTATTTTCCTTTACCACCTTCATACAGTCAGTGTTAGGTTTAGAATATTGTGCAATAGTATAGGGCCAAAGCCTAAATAAAAGTACCTGTTTGAGCAGAAACTTCTTACAGACTTTTTTGTGTTGAAGTGAGTTTGGTTTGAGGGCGTAATCTGAGAAGTTGCTCCCAGTGATTAGTGGGAAGGAATGCAACCTTAATAACTCGTAAGAGTGTTTATTTAGTTTGGTTGTGTTTTGTGACCTGTGCTCTGTGATGTCTTTCATTCAGTTTTACAGTTACAAGGTGTATGCCTCTTTTCAGTGTCTGTGAAATCTCAAAATGAGACATTTTTATCTTCTTATCAGGACATGGAGCAGACGTGAAATGTGTTGACTGGCATCCAACAAAGGGATTAGTTGTATCGGGAAGTAAAGACAGCCAACAGCCTATCAAATTCTGGGATCCAAAGACTGGCCAGAGCCTTGCCACACTGTAAGTTCTTGCCCACTGATGTTGATACGCTCAAATACAAGCTAACTTCATAAAATCTTTCTTTTATTTTTAATTCTTAGCTTTTTGCCTTACATCATTTCGGCCATACACAATTGCTTCAAATAGAAAGCTAGTGCTTTAGCTGTGCCAGAAAATCTGCAGGTTAGATGAAGTCATCTACGCTTGGAAAATTTTCACTTGAACATGCCTTATTTTCTCCATTTTCATAGACTTGCTAGTCACACAGTTCTCATTTGGAAAACAGAATTGAGATATGGAAACACCAATGAGGTGTTTTGCCTGTCTGATAAAAAAAAATACTTAGGCTGCAGTAGAGACATGCACAGTAGCTGAATAATGTCTCAGTGCACGCTGCCAGTTGCTCTGAAGTACAAAAGAATGGGATTAAGGTATAGGGCCTTTGCACAGAAGGCCACTGTATTCTGTTTTGGTAGCCTGAACTACTTTGTTACTGACCTGAATATTTGGGACTGGTAATTTACCGTGTTTTATTAGTGTCTGAGAAATCAGTAACTGAACAGTCTTTCTGTTTCTCTGTTTGTAGACACGCTCATAAAAACACAGTGATGGAGGTGAAACTGAATCTGAATGGCAACTGGCTGCTAACAGCTTCTCGTGACCATCTCTGTAAGCTCTTTGACATTCGTAATCTGAAAGAAGAACTTCAGGTCTTCAGAGGTCACAAGAAGGAGGCCACAGGTCAGAATTTCTTACGTTTTGTGGATTTTTGTTAGTAAATTTGAATTAAAAATGAAAAGTTTTGAATATTTTTTTTTACATTAATTAGAAATCCTAGCGTTACGCTTTCTGATTGTGCCTTATTTTGTATTTCAGCTGTGGCCTGGCATCCTGTTCATGAAGGGCTGTTTGCCAGTGGAGGATCTGATGGCTCTTTGTTGTTCTGGCATGTTGGGTATGTGGTATTTTCATCAGCACATCGGAAAGATGTTGCTTAGATATGCAAGTTACTATACTAAATATAAAATAGACTTTTCACCTTTTGGATTTGTATTTAACTTGCGTGTTTATGGTATAGTTTTTCTTTACACCTGAGGATGTTTGTGAACATGCTTCACTTCATAAGTTTTTCTGTACAGATGTATTTTAAAGGATATAGTTGCTTGCACAGGAAATAGTCTTTTTTTGAGAGCGTGATGAATGGTGGAAGCTCCTAGTTTCTTAGAGCTTATTCTGACATGGTGGAATAATTTTGCTTCTAAATATACAGTTAGAAAGTCCCTACATAACTGAATTCCCTATTAAGAGCAACTGAGGACAATCAGTTCACCCAGTAGAAAAATAACAGAGGCTTAAGTTTAGCAAAATATGGGCCAGAGGAAGAGGAACAGCTAAGTAGCAAAAGTTTTGCATTTCATCTGCAGCAGAGAGTCACCTGTGTGATAACCTTTTTTTTTTTTTTTTTACTGATGCATCAGGGTTGAGAAGGAGGTTGGTGGAATGGAAATGGCCCATGAGGGCATGATCTGGAGTCTGGCATGGCATCCCCTTGGACACATTCTCTGTTCAGGCTCAAATGATCACACCAGGTATTTTCAAGTATTTAAATAAAATATCCGAGGGCGTGTATATACATTTGAAAGGTGCATGGCATCAGTGAACAAAGGATGGATTGGGGTGATTGGGATAGAGTTTAACCTCTTGTCCTTCATCTAAGGAAGCCTTAAAAAATAGTAGGATTTTGGGGTTGTGTGAGCTTTCAAATCTTCTGAAGAATTTTAACAAAATAATTGTCATTTCATGCTGAAGAAATATTCTCATTTCCACAGCATTTTTTTTGGACAACTCATCTGCTGGTCATGTCGTCTTGTCATGTTGCAGATGTGTTTGAAGGTGCATAGTTTGTGCTTTTGGGTTGAATCTGCTGTAAACATGGAGCATTTTATGAATGGAGTAAATCTCTGTGTGTGGATGTGTGTACTGTCAAGTTTCGTTGTGTATGAAGAATATATTTGAAATGAGCAAGAAGTTTTTGGAATGAACTAGAAATATCACTGCCTGTTCAGGATTTGATGTTGATGCCCTGTACTCATGCCCCTTACACTTTGAAGTATCTTCTGAATTGTAACTATAATTCAATATGATAATTGTTGGGGTTTTATTTTTTGTTTGAACCTCACACCTAATGTTCAGATCTAGTGCTGAACTCGATTTAAGAGTTGAATCCTTAGGTACTCAAAACAGCATGCTAAAATTTAAAGAAAGAACAAACTAATTAGACTGAAAATAGTTAATACTCTTGACTCTTTATTGATACCCTATAACGTCCTTTTGACAGCAAGTTTTGGACTCGAAATCGGCCTGGAGATAAAATGCGAGATCGTTACAACTTGAATCTGCTGCCTGGGATGTCAGAGGATGGTGTGGAATACGGTAAGGTGATGTCCCTCAGTATGGAAGAAAGAGGGTGGGGTCAGGAACAAGCCTTAGGTTTTTGGCTGATGCTGGAGTGCAGCTTCTGGGTAAGACAATGAAGCAGGATCAAAGTATCAGTGCTCACCTAGATAAAGGTTTTTTTTTTTTTTTATGAGGATGATCATACTGTGTCCGTGTTATCAGTGATAACCATTCCAACAATGAGTTTTCCTTTGTTTCCACAGCTCCAGGAGGTAAGACCTGCTCTGTCAATCACAGGAAGGTTGACTATCCCTCTGACTATCTCCAGTTCACTTTTCTTCCTGAAAACTTCATGTGACTTCAAGACTTCCCACAGTCCTGAACTACAGCAGGAAAACCTTTCAAATTATTGAACTTGACTAAAATATTAGAACTGTATGACCCTTCTCAGGATTTTCCTTGGTAATTGTAGGCTGCTCAGGGTTGCCCAGCTCTGTAGCATGCCTCAGCTGCTTTTTCATCTCTGGGGTTACATTCTTCATTCAAGTTTTTGATTACTTGCTCTTTTATTTTGGGGAATGTTAAGTAAAATGCAACACATTGATCCAATCTAAATTGTAAAATGTGTAGATTTGTTTTAACAAAAATGGGAATGGGTCTGAGTTGTTACTTCCTTTTCTGAGCCTCTACCTTAAATGTGACTTTCCTGAAAGGACATAGTTTCTGGCCTTTTGGGGTGCATTTGTTAATCTGAATTTGCAGTTCTTTTAATATCCTGTAATTCTTGTATGGGATTAAAAAGCGACCCAATAGTTGTAGATGAAATGTAGATGAAAATATTCCAAGTATAAATATTTATTGTTTTTTCTCTAGATGATCTGGAACCCAACAGCCTAGCAGTTATTCCTGGAATGGGAATACCTGAACAATTGAAAATAGCCATGGAGCAAGAGCAGATGGGTAAGTAGTAGCCACAGGGAGGCATTTTTCTGAGCTCTCCAGCTACTGCGTGACTTTCATACCTTTCGTACATTTTGGTAGCACAGACACTGTTTTCTGATTTTCTGTATTGTGCATATTTCCTATATGAAGAAGGAAGACTTGAAAACCTTTTGGTCTCTTTTTCTAAGTAAGCTGTAAGGAGGGTAACAGGATTTCTCTGTAAACCTGCATTACTCTGACTGTTTGTCTCACTGGTGTTGAAGGGAAAGATGATTCCAATGATATTGAAATGACAATCCCAGGACTGGACTGGGGAATGGAGGAAGTAATGCAAAAGGACCAAAAGAAGGTGCCACAGAAAAAAGTACCCTATGCAAAACCAATACCAGCACAGTTTCAGCAGGTAAGTACCTGATACACAGACAACACCTGAACAACTTGTCATTTTCCCAATTTCAGAAAGTATGTGGCTGTTGAAACATTTTCAGTTTCCAGTACCAGCTCTTTTATATCAACATCCAGTGTAAAATAATTTACCACAGTAGTTAGTTTAATTGTTATGCAGGCATAACATATTTGGTTAAATCCATTATGTTTGTATCTATACCTGAAAAATAATTTATAAGATATTGAAGCTTTATTCAGCATCATTTTTAGCTTCTGAATATCCATACTACACTCTGTTCCAGCGTCTTTTCCCAGTGCAGCAATATATTGCATGCATGTTATTCCTCAGAATTCATCTTGGTTTTACTATTCTTCATAGGCATGGATGCAGAATAAAGTTCCTTTGCCTCCCCCACCTGAGCCATTGAATGATAGAAAGGAAGATATTAAGCTGGAGGAGAAAAAGAAGACACAGGCAGAGATTGAACAGGAAATGGCAGCACTTCAGTACACAAACCCACAACTCTTGGAGGTATGAACAGACCGTTATTAGCAGATCTGGTTTAGTGCTCTGTGCGATACATTTGGATCTCAACCCTAAAATGTGTAGCTTGCTTTTGCAGTACTGTTTTCACCTTTTTTCACAAAACGTCAGATTTAACAGGACTTAATGCATGACACTATGATACCGCCCGTGAGGCTCCACATTTCAGTTGACTGATAACTGATCTGTAGATCTCTTTAGTTGTATTTCTGTTAATAAAGAGAAAAGCATTAAATCTTTTTCAACTCCTGAGAAACAAGATGATTGCTTCTAATTTTTAGTTGCTACATATACTTCTGTGCTTAGCTGATTTTCTGGGTCTCTCTTTTTCGGACAGCAATTGAAGATTGAGAGACTTGCCCAAAAGCAAGCTGAGCAAGTGCAGCCACCACCTCCCGGAGGCTCTCTTCATGGTCCCCAGCCTTTTCCTGGGCAAGGCCCGATGTCACAGATGCCTCAAGGATTTCAGCAACCCCTTCCACCTCAGCAGATGCCAATGAATATGCCTCAGATGGGACCTCCTGGTCCACAAGGACAGTTCAGACCTCCAGGACCCCAAGGACAAATGGGACCTCAAGGTCCTCCATTACACCAAGGAGGTGGAGGTCCACAAGGGTTCATGGGACCACAAGGACCTCCAGGCCCCCAAGGGCCTCCACAAGGAATGCCACGGCCTCAGGATTTACATGGACATCAAGGAATGCAAAGACATCCTGGCCCTCATGGGCCGATGGGGCCTCCGGGTCCACAGGGCAGTGGCGGCCCACAAGGCCATTTAGGACCACAGGGTCTGCCTGGGTCTCAGACTCATTTAGGCCCACAGGGTCCTCCTGGCCCACAGGGTCACTTGGGCCCTCAAGGTCCCCCTGGGGGTCAAGGAATGCAAGGGCCACCTGGCCCCCGAGGAATGCAAGGACCTCTTCCTCATGGCATGCAAGGAACTCCAGGATCTCAAGGGATGCAGGGCCCTATATCTCAAGGGCCTTTGATGGGACTTAATCCAAGAGGGATGCAGGGTCCACCAGGACCCAGAGATAACCAGGGACCTACTCCACAGGGCATGATGATGGGTCATCCGCAAGAAATGAGAGGTCCTCATATGCAAAGTGGTTTACTAGGACATGGTCCCCAGGAGATGAGGGGGCTCCAGGGACCCCCGCCTCAAGGTACAATGTTAGGACCGCCACAAGAATTGCGTGGGCCACCGGGTCCACAAGGCCAGCAGGGACCTCCGCAAGGCTCTCTAGTAGGACCTCAAGGAAACATGCAAGGACCTCAGGGACAACCGAACCCGTCAAGGGGGCCGCACCCTTCCCAGGGCCCTCTGCCTTTCCAGCAGCAGAAAACGCCTCTGTTGGGTGATGGGCCTCGTCCCCCGTTTAATCAGGTATGTGCTGCTCTGTACAACGAGAAGAGTGTTAAGAATGTGGGAATGATAATGTCGCAGTAGAAATGCTGAGCAAGAGCTGGGAGGCTGGAGGTTCAGTTGTCCCAGCCTAGTTAATTCAAAAGCTAGGATCATCTCAGGTCTGGTTGAACTTACCAGTTCAAACTAAGCACGCAGGAACACATACTTAGGTCTAGGAATAGTTCAGCCACCTGAACTTTATACCTTCTGGGCCACAAGTTAAGAGTTTGATGTTGTGCACCATCTGCTGAGAAGCACGAGGAGGGAGCGCAGGTATCAGACAGGTTTGCAGAGGACTAGCCCAGCTCTGGTAGGGTGAGCGCCGAGCTGGAACTGCTGAGCATGGCCTGGGTGTGTGCCAAGCACTGCGCTGACAATTGGATGTCTCTGTGCTGTCCTGCCTTGGCCTCCGGGCTCCAGGAGGTTCCACCGGCGCAGCGCTATGCTGACGCTCAGCTGGCCTGGGATACTGGAGCACATTGCTTGTAGATGCACTGATAATTATGCAGGAATCAAGTCAGACTTTAAGTCTGATTCAGCAGCACATGTGACCCGCTCTGCCCCCTTCAGCGTCTTTCATAATGGATTTATTCCATCTTCTGGTCTACCACAAACGATGCAGAGCTTTCTGTATTCATTAGCCCTTACAAGTTCCTATTTGTGTGAGACTGATTCTGTGCTTAGAATTTCTCTTGTCTTTGGCTTCAAGGTAACTTTTGGAGGGAAGTTTGGAAGGAAAAAAATCTATTCAATTTTCAGAAACGTGTGTGGGTATTTTTAAGCAGAATTAGCTCTTCTAGACGTGCAGTCAGTAGTTTCTAGTTAAAGCTTTAGGCAGGTGTGCATACAGTCCTTAACGTGTAGTCCAGCACCAAGCAGTGTGTGATGACAGATTGAACTGAGCTTTAGCTCCGTGATTCCATTTCGGATTGAGGCAGAGCAGCCTACAGATGGTGTGTTTATTTGAATATTTTTTCCTTCACAAATCGGCAGTAACTCTCTCCAGAAATCTGTCTGTGACACTACTGCTGAGATTTCAAAAGCATCAAAGTTAAGCAAATGAGAGTTGGTTGCACAGCTATTACTCATCTAATTTATACTACCATAGTGGTTTTCGGCACTAACTTTTTTGACTTGAGAATAATTACCAAGCCTGTGTGTGCATTAAAGTGTGTGTATGTTTACACGTATGTGTAGGGCCGTCCTTGTCCGACCTTGCTGTTAACACTGGTCAGAATTCAGTAAGCTGCTTTTGCCAGGTGGCCAGTTATTTTCAATGAATACTGCTGTCCTGAAGTCTTTTACAGATGTTAGAAAAAAAGACAAAGCAAGATATTTTTGACCATTTTTCCTTCCTTGTGCAGCTTTAGTATGGTAATGTCCTTTAAAAATGCATGGATTATAAAATGAGTCATGTCTGTTCATGCTCTGGTTGGCTTCTTTGTAATATGAATGTAATAGTAGTTCCCATTTAAAAAGGCCTTATCTGTGGTTTTGTAAACAATAGGCTTTAGCTTGGGTTTTGTGCTGAATTTGATACTTACGTAACCTTGTACCAATCTTGCCTTCCTTTTCAGTAACAGGAGTGTATGAACATCCGTCTGCTTTATCAGGGGCTTGTGACATTAATACTGAACCTTTATACACATTTGTAAAGGTTAATCTCCATACAGGATAGATCGCTATCACCTGCATTCACTGTGCATTGGAAAGCGGAGGTTTACTTCAGATTGTGTGGGGGAGATGTACACCTCTTCCTGACGTGAGATCCGTTACCTCCTGCAGACATGAAACACGATAGAGAAACTGTTCACGAGCAGGAAATAGGCACCTTGATATGAAAATGCAAACGGATAAATAGAATATTCCCAAGTTAGCAGTAGTAGTTTGGAGCTGTTCTGCTATTCCTGATTTAGATTTGATTTTCTCACATTCCTTTTAGACAGATGTGCTGAATTTCATCCCATTTACTGGTTGAATGAGGTGTGAGTACTTCAGGCCAAGTCTCTTGTCCACAAGCGACAACTTTAAGAGCTTGTGCAGTATTTCAGAAGAAATGCAGATTTTTCTAATGAGCGAATACAAAGAAATCTTTCCCCCTCCAGTGCAAAGTTGTAACGCAGACGGCGTTGATCGAAAGGCCGAGCCATGTGTACGTGTAGGGCAGTTGCGTTCTGCAGCGCCAGCTTAGCTGGCTTGTGCAGAACCTCGGCCCGTGCGGGGCAGCCCTTGAGCCGACGGCGGAGGCGGTGTGAGGTGCTTGGCCGTACCCCCCTCCAGTTGTGGGGTACGCACGGCCGTGTACGGCTCCGAGTGTGAGAGCTCCTGAGCTGTACGTGTTCGTTTTTCAGTTTCAGGCCCAGTTTGGGGCCTGGAATGTATTTTGAAATGAAAGGCATGAGTGTTAGGGCTCTGTCTTCCTACCTCATCAAAGTGTGATTTGTTTGGAACAGAGGATTTTGCTAAACACTAAGGAAACTCATGTAGTGAGTGCTAAAAACTGCTGCTTTGGTTCAACACTAGTGGGATAAACTTAAGTTGTAAGTAAGCATATGCTAAATATATGAGAAATCATACAACTCCAGCAAGGTTTTGGTCCAGAATGGCAAAAGCACTGCAATAGCTGAATCTTACCTAGTCCGGGGATTGATTTATTTGCTCTGGACTCAAGCCAACATTCAGTCACTGGAAAAGTATTTTTTGTTTTGTTTTTAATAGGCGTGGGACCAGGCATCTTATTTTGCTTTTATTTCCGAAGTCCTTACAAAATTGCTCAATGCAGATGTGATGTTTGTAGTAGATATTTGTGTGCTTTTTGTGTTTATCACCTATATTGCAGTGGGATGTAAATGTTTAATTTAAAACCAGGATTTCATGATGTGATGGGGAAAAAAATACACCAACTGCTTCTTTGCAACCAGGGAGAGGGGAGAGGTGGTGGTTCTCAAAAATAGTTGTAGAGCATGACAGTTGTTTGATTCATGGAGAGATTAAGCAGTGTAATTCTGAGTACGATGGCAGTGATGGAGTATAGGTTTTTAAGTATTTACAAACTACTGCAGTCTCAGGGGTTTTTTACAAGCCAGTGTGAAGGCCAAGTCTAAATCTTGCATGTTGGACGTGTCTAGGAAAGCAGTATTGCATGTTTAGGGTTTTCTGGCATGTGTTTGGGGGGGATTTCAACATAAAAAGGGTTTGTATAGCAGTCTTGCAAGAGTCAACTCTGTCTTGTTTACAGCGATACATTTATATTGTTGGATCTCATTGCTACAGTGTAAATTATGTACACCCCCCCTTCTTGTTCCCGTCAGCTGCAAACCCCCAGTGACTTTTTGTCTGGCCTTTGCTGTTCACAGGCAGAATCAGACAGTTCAACCACATGGTTTCCAACCAGTGTTGGTACAGTGGGTCCAGTGTAAATGTGGTCCCTGTAGAATCTTCCACGGGTCTGTGACAGTGGCTGAATTTAAAGAACATATTTTTGTCCTTGAAAATTCACAAAGAGATAGAAAGCAACAAAAGACTTGACATATACTTTATTGTTTCTTTGGGATCATGTAATTTCCACAAAGCTCTGCTAACTCTGCTGCTTCTGCTTGAGAAAAGCAGGCAGCTGCAGCTTCTGCTTTAGCCCTGTCACTGCTTAATAACCCATTAACAACTTGTCTGTTGGTGCTTAGCCAAGCGTTACTACTTTCTTTTGATCCCAGATTTAGAATTAGGAAAAACAAACTTTGACATCATGTTAAAAAGGAAACTCACGTTATTTCCACGTGAAGGGTTTACAAAGGTTTATAGGAGATGTTCTCTTAAGTCCCTGTTGTCCCCCCTGTCCCAACATTCTTGGTATTTTTATATTTTCATTGTTTCATTTATTTATTTTTTTCCTTTTCAAAAGAAGTCTTTGGTCCATACATCTCTTCAACAGCATATATATCAGTACTTGATGTTTTTCAAACAAACAGAGTTTCCTCACCTTTTCTAACAGGCAGATAGAATATGTGCTCTATTGTCTTTGGTTGTTACAGGTAAAATATTACTCCTTGAAATGCTAGGTTTCCTATAAAATTATGTATGCTTCTCAGCGACTGAAAAGCATCTCTGATGTGAATGTCTGGAAAATTAGGCTGAAACCATTGGAAAATCGGCTGTCTCTATCATAAGATCAGTGAGGTTGCAGCCTTTATGAAGGCAGATTTGTTTTACCCCCTCAGTAAATGCTTTGAAGCAAAAATACTCATGCGTGGCAACTCACGTGACTTTTCTTCTTGCGTGCTCGTAGGACGGACAGAACGCGGGACCTCCACCACTGATACCAGGACTGGGGCAGCAGGGAGGACAAGGTCGTCTTGGCCCTCACAACCAGGGACCTGGCCTTAATAAAGGTACTGAACTATGTTGTCTGTTATTCTGTGAGTAGCTCTCCTGAAAGAGGCTGTTCCAGTGCCGTGCCTCTAGACAGAAAAGACTACAGCAGAGCACAGGGCCTTGGCTGAGAGGAAAGCTTCCATAGACTTGGGCTGGAATGCAGAGGAAAAGGTTTCCCCCCGGAATGATTTAATGAGATGTATGGTGTACGCTGTATAGAACTGTACAAACTAGAGCATCCTAGAGCGTTTTTGGAAAACATTACAGAAATCTGCTGTGATTTTTTCCCTCAAGGTGACTCCCGTGGTCCACCAAACCATCACATGGGCCCTCTCTCAGATAGAAGGCACGACCAGAACAGTGGTGGTCCTGATCATGGGCCTGAGAGAGGGTTGTTTCGCGGTGGCCAGGAGTGGGGTGATGGTAGAGACAGCAGGGGCATGCCAGATAGACGAGGACCTCACCCAGATTTCCATGATGACTTTGATCGACCAGATGACTTCCGTGACGACTTCCATCCGGATAAGAGATTTGGCCATCGATTACGGGAATTTGAAGGGAGAGGAGGCCCACCACTGCAAGATGAAAAATGGAGACGAGGTGGACCTGGGCCTCCATTTCCTCCTGATCACCGAGAATTTGAAGGAGGGGGTTCAAACCGTGGGCCTCCCGGCGCTTGGGAAGGACGGAGACCTTCAGATGATAGATATCCACGGGATCCTGAGGACGCAAGGTTCCGAGGAAGACGAGATGAGAGGTAAGAATAAATCTACTCATCTTTTTTGGGGTAAAGGGTAAATGGAGGGAAATCTTTCTTCCTGGTTTCCTTTTCATTAAGGAGTCTATCTGTTTCAGATTTATAAACTGGAAACCAATCAGGAAATGAAAACTCTAATATACCTGAGTATAGAGTCCATAAAAATCATTCAGTAATAGAAGAAAACTTGAAAAATGGTCATTGTGCACAGCAGCTTCCGTGTCTTTAAACAGTAAGTAAAGAGAAGGGAGGAAATTTGTAGAGGCGATCCAGTGACACAGGATGAAGACTTGAGACCATTTTGATGAAAATTGAGAGGAAACTTGAAGGTTAAAGTGACAAACTTTTGAACACTAGAAGTGGATTTTGAGACTTGGTCTCCAGTCACAAACTACAGCATGACTGTAGACTGTAGAACGAGATGCAATAGACTTGTAAGGAGCAGGAGCAGTGATCCTACTGTCACATGCAAGGGGCAGAGCTACAGCATCTGTTGGACTTCTGAGACTATTTTCTCATGGTTTTGCTTGTAGAAATTTTATTTCTCTTTCTGACTTATTTCTTAATGCCAAGCAAAGAACTCAAAACTAATCTAATTTACAGCAATGGCCACATGTCATTGCTCACAGTTTCCCAACAAATCACAAAGGGATGAATTTGCTTCTAGTTATCAATGTAAATATGGAGGAATTACGCTAAATCAGCAAGATTAACTGTGATCAAAATGGCTCCACATTTATGCTAATTTAACTGTTGGAATTTGGCCTCCAAGGTCTAAGCCTCTCACTGACCACCAACTCCGTATGTATAAGAACGTGTACTTGTACAAATATATTGTGGTCTCCTCATAATGTGAATTTTGTGTGTTTTAGTTGCCTTTTTAATCGTTTTCTTACATTCCTTTTACTTTGCATCTATACAGCTCTTCTTTTAGCTATTTTCTACCTAGCTCTGTAAAGATGTACCTTCCTTTTGTGTGAAGAGTATGAAAAGAAATGAACAGTAACTAAAAGAAGGTAACAAAGCCATTTTAAAAAATAAACCCAGAGAGAATCCAAGCTGAATGGTCTGTGTTACAGGATTCTAAAAGGCACAGCAGACACCAGTTTTAGGAGCTCAGCAGAGATTTTCAAATCTTATATTGGAAATGCTTAGGGGCTGGAAAATACTTTCTGATGATCCTGATTTTTAAAAAAGGTTTCAGGAAGAGAGTTTGTGACCTGTAAATCTGAATTCTGAACTAAGAGGAGTGTATTTGTCAGATGGTACGGGTGTTTGTACGAAGAGTCTGGTTTACCAGGAATCGGCACAGGGCTATAAAAGGCTTATTGTGCTTGCAGACGTAATGAGTTCATTTGAACTAAGGTGAATTAGGTGCCATTTACTGCAGATGCTGAAGTGAACTTAATCCCAACCAGTCTAGCTGACTTGATTTGGAATTTAGATTGTAACTGCTTTGATCAAGCATGAGAGGGAAGCGTGTGTACGTGTGTTTCTCTCTAATTTCCCGTACTTTTCATCCCTGTCCTGTCCTTACTCTACCTGTGCGTATCAACATGATGCTTCTACCGCAGAGACCTGCCTCTTCCTGCCTGCTAATCTGCACAGTGTGTAGTTCTGTACGTTAAGGTCCTAGGCCTCCAGGAAGAAGATCTGAGAGCAGTCAAACAGGAACTCTGAGCCCTATGCAAGGCAGGGTTTGATGTGTGACTGATATGACAAAGTGAAAAATTATATCCATAACACCAAATTAGGAGCTGTGGCTATATCAGGCATAGGTATGACACATTTCAAAACCAAACGGTGTCCGTAACGTTGCCTGAAGGTGAAAGGAAAGGCCCTGTTCCCGCTAGCCATAGGACTGTGTGTTGCAAATCTTGGCGATTTACAAGCTAAGCAGAATCACACCACGTCAGTATTAAAATGGGAGGCCCTCTAAAGAACAGCTTAGAGGACTGTGCTGTTTCAAGGCTCAACAATATTGCTATGTGGTTATCTGAACCATTGGTACCTGAAACTGTTCAGTTTGTTTTCTCAGATCATCCAGGTTAATGTGAAATGGTTCACTGTCCATACACAGCACTCCCTCCATCCACTGTTGTACCTGTACAGGCACAGCAGCCTCCTCCCTGTATCGTGTTTGTTTTCTGGGAGGTGGAGACAGACCTATTGTTTTTAATTAAAAAAAAAAAAAAAAATGTAAAAGTTTAAAAATATTGTATTGTGTTATGACTACTGTTAAAATATTTAAATTTGTAATTAAAAGGTTAATGTTGTTAAAATTCTAAATAAAAGTATCTAAAGTTTTGCTTGTAATAGGATGCACTGTGTCATTAATGAGCTGGGGAAGGGGATGTTGCACAAAGCCAGCACCATTCAAGTATTACGGTGGTCACGGTTTGGCCAGTGTGGAACTGGAGGGGGAGGCATCGGTGTCAACGGGCCAAGAGCGCTCCGCACGACCCATGCTGTCACGGAGGGGTGGGCAGGAGCAGCCTGGGGTCGCACCCTGAGGACTCCCAAACCAGTGTGCCTGCACCACCTAAACGCCTCGCCCGTGCTTGCACAGAAACTGGCCTGTAACCGGAGAGCATCCTAACAGCCGGTGCCAGCGCGCTCTTTGGGAGTTGCAGTAAGACGCAGAACGTGTAGGCGCTTTTAGCAGCACCGGTGACGTAAAAACCAGTTTGTGTAGCCACCCGTAGGCTCACCTGAAATGGCACTGACAGCTCAGTAAGGACCACCCTTCCCTCTGAAGATCTGTTACAACCCCAGGGTGATACTGGAGGAGCTGTACTCATGTAAGATGAGGTCCCCAGTCGTTACTGAAGATGCCATGGTACTTACTAGAAGGAAATTGCCGACTTTAGTGTCCTAACTACATTTGGCAAAACGGAATTCTTTGCTATTGCAGTTGGATGAACTGCTCTTGAGGCGGCAGAATGCCGCTGCGCACGCTGTTCAGCAATCGTCATCCCTACGGAGCCAACTGCAGTCTAGATTGATTTGCTAACACTGTACATTTAGAAGAATGGAACGAAACAGAGAACGTTCCAGCACAAGGATCCCAAAGCAATAGGAATGAGATGCTGGAATGTTCTGTTATAGCCATGACGCTCGTTGCTTGTATTTGTTCAGTTTGGGTTTTATCACAAAAACTGAAGGGAAAAAAGGGAAGGGGGAAGTAAGACCATCACAGTCAAGGGAAATTCACTTTCACTTTTCCTTACCTTTTAACTATCATCGCTCACTTTTTTTCCTTTTCCTTAAATGAATGCAGTGTATTTGACAATATTGCATGAAAAAACCAACACAATCAACAGAAGGAAATACGAGGGGAAAACTATAAAAATTAAGCAGAAAATGAGCGCTTTTCCACCTCCAAATCCTATTCTAATAACTGTATGTGCTATAGTGTTAAGTAGAACTGTTCAGAAATGAGTTGATTGTTAAACTGAAGCTGACTCAAGTTTCCCGGTCTCAGTTCTGCCTAAAACCCGTGTTTGTACCATGTTCTTTCTTGTAGCTTCCGAAGAGGAGGACCCTCGAGACATGAGGGCCGGGGACCCAGGGGGAGAGATGGCTTTCCTGGCCCTGAAGATTTTGGGCCAGATGACACTTTTGACTCTCCAGATGAAAACTCAAGAGGAAGGGACCATGGTGTTCGGGGGCGAGGTCGTGGTTCTCTTAGAGGTGAGGGGAACATTCTTCTACACTGAAATGCAAGGATAAGGAAGCAAATACGTTTCTTGGGGAAACGACAGGATTCTCATGAACACGATGTCTCTTCTCACTCCTCTCTCCTGCATCTCTTACTGCTCAGGAAGCCGGAAGGGTTTGCTTCCTACTCCAGATGAATTTCCACGCTTTGAAGGAGGACGGAAACCAGAATCCTGGGACGGAAACAGAGAACCAGGTAAAAAAAATGGGGAGGTTTATTTTAGATAATAGACTAAACTTCTTATTATAACCACTTAGAAAATAATTTTTAAAACACTTCTTTTTCCTGCACATCATATGCTCATTGTCAGTCATTTACCAAGCAAAACGTCTTCTAATACTTCTAAAGTAAAAAAAAAAAACCCAAACAAACCAACAACAAACCAACAAAAAAACCCTCTACAGAATTTAACTGGCTCTAAATGCAGCTGTCTCACTGAATAAAAAATTGACTGCGACCTCAAAGTCTTGATTTAGAAGTTGAATTCTTGCACAGTGCAGAGCTGCCTGTTGTTGTCACCTGTGGATGAGTGAAGCATAGTTTGTGGGGGTTTTTTTAGATGTATATTAATGCCAATAATGATGTCTCTTGGATGGCATCTTCTCTATAGTTTGCAAAAATGATGTTTTCAACTGCGATGTCTGACAGCTTGTTAATATTTGCATTTGGAAACCCCGTATGGAGCAAACCCGAGTTTTAGAATGTCATGGAAAAAATGAGCACAAATCACACATGAATAAATAAAGATGAAGATGGGTTTGTCTCTAAAATGTCTGAAAATATGTTATGCTGAGAAGAACGCTGTGTATCCATCACTTCTTTCTCTCTCATCATCTTTCAAACTTGTTTTACCTTCAGCTTTCTTGCAACTTGTTCCATCTAATGTTTGCTTGTTTGCCTGCTGGAATTGGGGGGGAGTTTTATGTAACGTTAACTTAAAACTGTGCCAAATAGCATGGAAAGTATGTAAATTTAAGTGACTGCCTCCAAAAATGAGAAATAATGATCAGATGAACAGCACTTAGGATCCTGTTTTTTTCTCTTTGTGTTCAGGTCCTCGTCCAGATCACCCTCCTCATGACAGGCATTCTCCGGCAAACAGAGAACGTTCTTCTTCGCTCCAGGGCATGGACATGGCCTCATTGCCACCACGTAAACGTCCCTGGCATGATGGACCAGGGACCTCTGACCACAGAGAAATGGATGCTCCAGGTGGACCCCCAGAGGAGAGGGGCAAAGGTAAAAAGCCCCTTGTGTTGAAAACCTTACCTAACACCGGCACATTTTTCAACAGTAGGCTTATCCAGAATTCCTTATCTGTACAGAGGGGATAAAGCTGAACTGGTAAATATTTGAACTTGCCAGCTGCAAAGCTGAAGACCAATCTTACAGAAACATCAGAACAGAGAGATTTTCTGGGACATCTTCTCTCCAGCATCACAGAATCTTCTTCTTTATTGCCCTGTTCAAAAGCAGTTAGTTTCTGGCTGTTACTCCATTTGAAAACTCTTGTTAAGAACCTTTTCCCTAATTTTCAGAAGTTATTTATAGATTTTAATATTCATTCTTGTGCCGATGTCCTCTGACTCAAATAGCTTTCCTGTCTCAGCCTTCATTCTGTTGGAATTAATGAGACCTGCCTTTTTTTAAGTCTTTCCTTATGAATTCTGCACTTGTGTAGTGTAAGCACGGCCACCCACCATCAGACCAGAAGTCCATAAAGCTCAGTAGCTTGTCTTCATCAACAGTCAGTAGCAGGTACTGAGGGAAGTGTTAAGAACACTAAGCCTGTAGTGGTATGTCCCTGAAATGCTCTCTAAACCTATGGAGATCTGTAGTTCAGTGACTTCTTGAAATGGTTCTTTATATGCAATGTCTTCTGACAGTTAGCCTTTTCGTGTGCTTCTGTAATTGCTTTAAGAATCATATAAACTTTTGACATCCACATCATCTGTGGACAGAGCTCTAAAACTTAATCGCAGTAGACTACGCTTTAAAAAAAAAGGGGGGGGCGGGGAATTTATTTCTCTTATTTTAAGCTTATTCAGTAATTTCATTTGACCATGTCTTGTGTTTTAAGTGGAAAAGTTGAAAGTTGATCGGTATTAATTCTGAATGCCACCTCTGATTGCATCGAATTCTACCGTTTCCAACCTGAACTACCTCTTCCCCAAATCAGAGCTCTGATCTATGTAGTTGTTCTCTCTGGAAGTCGCCCCGTATCTTTTAGTATCCTTATTACACTGCAGACACCATTTTCAGTTCTAATTTACCCTTCTGTAAATGAAATGGAATAACTAGGATTCGCACGCACGATTTAAGATGTGGTTTGACCACACATTTCTACAGTTCACTTGGTCTTGTTCTGTTTTCTCCATTCTTTCATAATAGCTCCTGATGTCCTATTTCCTTCTAACTACTGAACAGCGACATGGCAGTCGTACAACTAGCTACTGTAACCCACAAAATGCATTCTTTTGCAGTTAGTAGCTGGTGCAGCGCCTGTTGCTGCGTATGCCGTTTCCACAATCGTCCTACTACCCTTGCACCAGTCCCTTATCCTTTTTCTTATAAATCTCAGGATTGCTGTTGGTTTTTTTTCTTTTTTTTTCATGTCCTCATACTGACTGCCCACTGCTACGCAGTGATCAGTGACAGACATTCTTCTCGGTTGCTTCCAGATGCTAAGCTGCCAGCCTGTAGTTGAATTTTCTGTTGTTAGACCTCTACTGCACACTTTTGTCTTCGATGCCACTGAATTTCATTGCACTTCTCATACTGACTGTATGCCAGTCCTCCTCTGCATGGACTGCATTTCCAGTGTTGTATTAACAGCAGGTTTTAGCATTCATTCACAGAGGTTTTTGGTAAAACTCTGCTGCTAAACTCTCTATCAAAAATGTTCTCTTTCTCGTTCACCCAGCAGGATTCCCTCTCCAGCTTCAATAATAATGGATGGTAACTCCATCCAATTCTGTATTGAAGTCAAAACGGTTGTTAACTACCACATTTCTTGTGCCTAGACAACTCATTAATGTACCGAAGAAAGTTTACAACAGTGGCAGAAAGCATGATTTTTTTTAAAAAAAAAAAAAGCATGAACAATACTTTTTCTTATATGGGTTGTGTCACCTTTGGTTGGACTAGTAAAGTCATTTGAAGACTAAAACTTCATAGTTTCTAAACTCTGTGGAACAACTTGGTCTTCTGTTTTACACAGAACCAAGCACAATCCACAAAAACCCCCTTTTACTGAAGTGGAGCAAACCCATCCTGATTTAGCTGTAGTACCTGTCCATAAAGCACTGTTACCATTCATTTGTTCCAAAATACTGTGATTTTAGGCTAAATAACTTGGGGTTTATATTTTAATTTGCATGTCAGTACTAAAGAGACATGTGAGAAGTAGAGAATCCTCTTCCTGGCAGTAAGAGCTCCATGTAGTTTATGTTCCTGGTTAGCAGAAAAAGAGAGCATTTTCCCAAATTTTTTTGCTGAGCATTTTTTTCTAAAAATGGAACGAAGCAGTAATGTAACTCATTGTCTTCACCATCAGCCTCAGCTGATGCATCAGTGCAATGTCTTTGTTTAGGAAAAAAAGGTGTTTTGCAATTAAAATATATAGAGAGCCACGAAGGGTAGGGACCGGGTATGCCTGGCAGATTGGAGGACACCATGACCACCACTGCTGTAATTCCTCTGAGTGGTTGCTGACTGTATCATCTCCCTTAATTCCCAAGGAATTGCTTCATGACTGTCATGGAGATGCTAAATCTATGTACGAAAAACCGTATCGAGGGAGGAGGCATAAAATTACCGTTCTCCACTATATCTGGTCTGTGAATGATGATGGCAGAGAAGAACTAGCTAACTATATGGTATGTCTGAGAAGAGGCGTGGCTTAGGCTTCAACATCAGTGACTGGTTGTGCTTCATTTTTAGGACGAGGAAACTCCGGACCTTCACAGAGAGCACCAAAATCTGGAAGGTCTAGTTCTTTAGATGGAGACCATCACGATGGATTCCACCGGGATGAAGCTTTTGGTGGAGGCCCTTCAGGAGGCAATAATCCTTCTAGAGGAGGAAGGAGTGGAAGTAACTGGGGGAGAGGAAATAACATGAACTCTGGTCAGTCAAGAAGAGGAGCATCTAGGGGTGGCGGAAGAGGCCGATAGAAGAGGCTTTGACTGGGTTACACCCAGTCCCTGCTGGACAATATTTAAATAAACTGCTACTCTGGACTCATAAAGTAACCTTGCAACACCACAGACCTGGATTCTTAACTGGGATAACTGAATGTGCATTACTTCCTAACAGGTGTCTTTTCTTAGACCAACCAACTGCTGCTAGCTGCAGTATTGTAGCTAGCTTTCTGTTTTGTCCTCTCCACCTCTTTTCCCTCATCTTCTTTTACCTGCTTTGTTTTGTGAAGAGATGGAGGTTTTTTTTAAGTGTTGTGAGACATGGAGCACCTCCACAGATTTCAGTTCACCTCCAGGCAGAAACTTGTTTCTATATGTACAGTTTGTTGGAAGAGTTACATTGGTTTTGTATGAATACAGAATGTAATTTGCGCAAAAATTAACAAAAAAATCAACACAGCGTGTGATTCTTTACTCACCTCCTGCTACAAAGAGGGTTGTCTCTAGGCAAACTTGCGTATCAGACGAAGCAACAGAACTACCTCCTGAAATCTCAAGCGTTTAAAATGCTAACAGCTTATTCCTGGTTTTTTGGTTTATCGGGTATGGAGAACTTTCATTTTCACCTTTAGCCGCAGCTGTCGACACATTACAAGTGGTGCTGACATTACAATTCCAAAACACGGGGAATCACCGCTGCTTGCTGGTCTGCCATCCTGCAAGAGAAAAACGTGGAACACCATTTAGAGAAAGTTGTCACAGACAGTGTGAGTTACAACCTGGACTGCTAGCCAAATATTGTCATTCTGTGCTTCACCCGGGCGAGTCGAGCATTTTTGTTCAAACCAGCATCTGTTTATAGGAACTGAGGAAGAAAGAAGTTCAGCAGCTCAGTTAATACGGCTGCGTATGTTTTTCCTGTGGCCACAGGACGTGTTGCGTAAACGCGCGGGTGTTCAGCACCCGCTGAGGTGCACACCTTGATAGTTGATCAAGTTTCATCTTAACGTTTTTTAAGTATCTTTCTTGAGGATATTGTTTCCTAGTTTTCCTAGGAGAGGGAAATGAGGAGGAGGAGGGCTTATTCCCATGTTTCATAATAAAGCTGCTTACCAACCATGAGTTAGTTTTCCCCATAAATCATTCCTACGAATCATGTCCACATTACCAAAAGGCTCCTTTAATACCTAAAGCCTCAATGAAAATTTTCTCATGTAAGTACATATGCTAAAGCCAGCTCTTGGGAAGGTCCCACACTAAAAGTGTAGGATATAGTGATATTTTGATATTTTCCATTATACATTATCAGGCTTCCCACCTCACGTTATACTCTTCAGGATAATATGGCAGTGTAGTTCCATAGCTGACAGGGATGCTGCAGCAACACACAGCACAGCAGCTCTTTTAGCTGACTTTTACAGTCAGATTTACTAAAGACTGGCTTAAGTCCTGAGGACTTATTTAAATAGATGAAAGCACAGATGCTTAACTGCTGTTCTCCTCACTCAGTCACAGGAAGGGTTGTTTTTCCCTTCGTTTTTAATTTGCAGTGTATAAAATAGCATTTGAAAATTATAGTAATTAACTCTGATCATTAGCCTATAACATCCTTATCATGGGGCTCTAGAGAGACAGACTGGTCTTAAAGGAATTAACTGGGAAACAGCTGAGATGCATCTGATATGACAGTTTCTCCTTTCAGGGGGAAAAAAATTGCTTTTTAGCTCTATCTGGAGGAAGGCTGTAGCCACTCTTGGTGTACATCTGGGAGTGGGGATCTGTCCTGAAGCTGTACTGATAAACACCAGTGATTTATTCATTAGCAAAGGGGAAAGCTTGCCCTTTTTTTTTTTTCCCCTACACACCCTATATATTTTTAAGGGGCTGAAAGTGACTTTTGTCTAATAATTGGAATCCGTGATTTAGAGGATGAGCTTTAGTTCTTAATTAAACTACAGTCTTGCCGAGTGCACCTAACACAGGAAACCCAGCTTTTTCTGTCTAGACAAGAGGGACTAGGCTTGTTTTACTTCTGATGCTTGGTTAAGTCCATAAACCACTGCAGTACTTGGCATTAAGTAACATTCTTCATCAAGGGGCAGCTTTTTTAATTAAGTTTTGAAATACTCCACAATCATGGAATATGCATGTTAAGTCATAAGAAAATTGATTAATTAGGTAGCTTTTGTGTAAAAGCTTAGAGGGTGACAGCATAGCAGGAGAGACAGAAGGAGCTTCCCTGTCCATGATACCATGACCCACCACAGCTGGAAAATGGATAAAATTACTTGATGGGAATGTACTTCTGTACTCTTCAGGTCAAGTTCTTTAACCAGTGCTGCATGTAGAATCCTTATGCTCTGCCTGCTAGTGTACAGCTCCACCTTGTTTAAGATCTCTTTAACCCGCCCGATACTGCTGTTAGGAATAACATTTATTTTACATGCTATAGCTTAGAAGTTGGAAAAAAATGGAACAATTTCATGCTATTGGCAGCTCTGATCTACATTTTTAAGGAAGAAAAAGTGAACATTAGTGGAATCTATATTGACATTTGGTACACAAAGTTTTATTAAAGCCATCTACGTACATTTAAGTACTCCCACTTAACAATTTCAGTTTCATTCCAAGCAAGTATTAGGTGGATACGCTAAACCCTAAGTAGTGACAGCAGGTAATATTGCAGTGCTTGGCTTCATTCTGTATATGAGGCATGCGAGATACTCATTTAGGTTGGGCCTGGTAGCCCCATTTTTCTGCAGTAACGCAGTCTGCAGCCCCAACAAGTACCAAGCGCTCAGCAGGGACTGGATTCGGCACCCTCCCAAGGCCGCTCGGTTTCTGTATGGAAACAGAGCTGTGCTAGCTGCAACAGGCTTTGACCGATTACTAGCAAATCTGCTTTTGAAGGTCATTCTGTGACAAATAAGCAATTCCTGCCCAAGTTGAGAGAGTAAAAAAAGATTTATATATAAGAATGAAGTTCTGAAAGCTGAAGCTACCCCTTTAGAGCCCAAATATTTGCTACCTTACAGCAGCTCTAAGGCAGCAACACCAGCAAAGGCCGAGGCTCTACGGATTAGAGCCTTTCAGCCTGTCCTCACGCGAGAAGGGTACCCGTACAGTTAGGGGTAGTCTTTGCAACCCACAGCCCCAGGAAAGTTTGGTTCACCTACTGGATGGTCTTCCAAAGGCGGCTTTTAGAGAGAAATGCTGCTCAGTGGCACATAGGATCCACCACTGGTCTGAGGTGGCCGATGACCGCACGAGACTGCGACTCGAGCGTAGAGGTCGGCTCAAAAATGAGTTAACGCTAGTAGTTAACTCTTTTTGAGCGTTCACCTCCCACGCTCGATCAGACTTTGCTGAATAGGCTCCGTGTTCCAACACCAGGCAGCCCTATGCACCTCAGCTGTAAGATAGTTGGTTTTCACGTAATGGGCAAGTCAATAATTACATTTCATCGGCTCCGTAGTCTCACTCACGTTTCGAAGGAGGCTGCAGCAGCCACATGGTCCTATACAGGAGGTAGGGAAGTGGGGTGCTGCCAGCTCCCACCCAGATCCGGAGCGACTCCAGACCGCGGCTGGCGAGCTGACTGGGCAGTAAGGCCGGTTCGGCGCCACGCCTGAGCGCGGCGAGGCGCCGTTAGAGTCACCGGTGCCGCTCCCGGGTGCCAGCCGGTGCTGTTCTTGCTCAAGAGCTCGCGAGGCAAAACCCAGCAGGAGCGCGACGGCGTGGGACGGCGCCATCCTCATCCCCGGCTGGCGAC